TGGATTGTGACAGACTTGTCTGCAGAAAAGAGCTTTACCATCCTCTTAGTCTTTATAGGTTCAAGCCAAGGAAAGGTGCACTACGAATAACAGTACCTATGGAAAAAGCTCAGGACAGGGTCAGGATAACACTATTTTGAAGTTAGATTTTTTACCATTAAGCCAAAACTCAGAATTTCAAACCTCCTGTTCTGAAGAAAGCCCTGTCATTTGTCAACAGCTGAATGGTGATTCACCCATTGCAAATAAGTCTACATAGAGATACTGAAAAATGCAATACTCTCTTCAGAGACTTCATAACAGCTGCTATGTTTTTATCTGCTGAAAGCTGAAACCCTTACCAAAATTAGCCCGCTTCTCCAAATGGAAAATGTGATATTGGGTAAGTAGAATCAATTCTATAAGCATTGAGTACATCTGCCCACACTTTCAGTATCTTGTTACAACAACCTTTAAGTTGGTCACTGTATACCAAACACAACCTGAAAATGTTCTAACCTTGTTTCTTTAGGAAGCAAGGTTTGCATGACCACATGTGGCTGTCCAGGCACCTAATCAGCATTTCTCACTATTCTCATAACTTTGAATCTGTTGGAATATTCAACCAAATTTTGTAATAAAGGCAGAGTCTCAAAGGAACTAAACTGCTGCTCAATTCCTAAGTTTCATGAAACTGAGCAGTGGGCAGAAATTCAGTGTGCCCTTGGAGCAAGAAGTAATTCAGTGCATTGCAATGGGCCAGATGTAATCCAACTCCACTCACCAGCTGCAGGTACCTGCCAAGTCACCCCAGCCATTTGTGCCACACACTCCCCACCAAACAGGAAGAGTGTGGTTGGGATGCAGTGACCAAGGTGAGAAATTACAAAGGTGACAGGCCTGGGAATAAGATGGTGGCAATGGAAAGCAGAAAACAATCAGTCAGGCACCACACCTTATTAGTATTAGTTCCACTGCTTGTGGCCCAGCTTTATTAATAACAAATACATATAAATCTCAGAGTGTAAGTCTGCAGCATAAAAGCACAAGAGCAGTCACAGTATGCCTACTAGAATTCAAATGAAGTAGGATAATTTAAATATCCAACACCACATTTAACATAATCTTTGTGAAATAATTGCTTTATCTTCTGACGTGTAATTTTCCTTGTGATTAAATGGCAATACATGCACTAAAACTTACATCACTTCTGTCACAGAGAATTGTGTTTGTATTATGAACTGTACACAAGCAATAGAACAAATGGTTGACTTAGGAAGAGAGATTCCATTGTGCAATGTCAGGAAACATTTCATTTTCAAAACAGGTCTTCATTTCACTGTCAGCTGATTGTCACGGAACAAAACCCACAAAAGCTTTTGTGTAGCTTTGTAAGGGGAGTCCATACAGAACAGGACAGCTCAACCTGAGATATTTGGGCAACTCTTATAATCTCTGTAGTGCACAGTGATAATTTCCCCTCCACGAACCCATGGCAGGGAAGGTAGAAGAAAGGCATACAGGGAATACAATCTTTTCTAATGCAGACATGAAACATCTCTGCCTAATTCGTTCCCTTCTCCCAAATGCCGAAGGGGCAGCTGCCTGCCAAACACGAACTGATGACAAGGCAGGGATAGAGGTGAGTGGGGATTCCCAGAACAAAGCCCAAAGTGGCAGCAAGAGGAGCCAGCTGTAAAGCTGACCTGCGGTAGGAAAGCTCTCTGGGGAGATAAGAACAGCACTGGGTAGTGATGGCTGATTATAATAAGTAAGGTGGGAACTAATTTTGGACTTAATAGCCTGTGTGCTCAAACCAGCCTGAAGACTGTCTAGCACAACCCTATTAATGTGTTCACACTATTAAATGCACTTCTGTTATTGAAGCCCAGCCTGTGTACTGGAGTCCAGCATTTCCCCTTCAGCTCAGGAGAGATGTGGAACACTGCTAACAGCAAAACTGGCAACCATGTGGGTATACACAGCTCCTAAAGGAACACAGATTTTTTTTCACATTGATAATAACTGCACCAGATAAATGCTAGACTAACCCATAAGACATTTGTTAAAGATTCTTTGACTCCCTACATTACAACCAAGGGCAAACTACTGTGTTTTGTTGGAAATATCAGATGGCAAGGAATATGGAATAAACAAGTTAACAAGCATGCATGAACAAGTAACCAGTAGTTAGCTCTACTTTGAGCATAGGTTGGACTCGATGTTCACCTAAGGCCCCTCCTAACCTGAATTACTGCATGATTCTACATGTTATCAGTATGCAACAAGCCTACCTCCAGAATACGTGCTCTATAATGATGGATTTACTAGAACAGAAGAAACAGCTTTGAGGCTTCAGCTCCCTCCTCTACCGTTACCTCCGCCCACCACGCCAGTAACATACCCTTTTCTTGTATAAACCATGATTTGTTTCCAACTCCTTGGCTTGCTGTATCTGATTTACTGAGCCAAACAGGAGGCACAGCATGGCCAAGTTGCACAGACCAGGGAGATCAGGGAGCTGCAGCGCTGCAGAGAGGTGAGAGGAAGGAATTCACATTTTTCTCATCCTGAAGCCATACACTGGAAGCCCACTCTTACTCTGGGACCTAAGACAAGGGCATACCTCAAATTATGATCTGATGAGGGACACATGATCTACATCTGAGAATCACCCCTGCTTCTCTTCCTTTTGCATCAGGACTGCATCTGTGCTTGGTTGAGTGAAAAAGATACAGAACACATCCTGTCTGAAAGTATGAAACTTTTGGACATGAAAACACGAACAGTTTGAGACATTTTTTTACAGCTATAAAAAAAAACACACATGTAATTTTAATGCAGCTCTCCCTTTTGTTTCAGTGGTTTAATACTTTTATACAAAAGTACAGCAGAAAGTGTCATGCTCATTTCTTGCCTAATTGCCGTATGACATCTGCTAACCCTACGGTAGCTAAGCACTCCCTCTTCTGTCAAAAGACTCTCCATTGCACAGGTGATCCTTTTCAGTATGTCATTACTGGCTCCCTTTTGAAAATACTGTAGCAGTCATATTTGACCCTCGTACAGAAGAGTGCTGCTAACCCAACTGATTTTCTCACAAAGCCTGTATTTTTCTTAAATCCTCTGCTGCTGAAACTGGCAGAGATCCATTTCCCCTTATGAGATTCTCTAAAACAGGTGCCTGCACCAAGGTTACTCACTCAGCTACTTTCAGTTCAGGGAGACAAGTGCCTCCAGTAAGACAGTTCCTTCACAGCAAAGGGAAGACCATGTCCAAGTCGACTCCCATCTCAGAAGACTGCAGGAAAATGCCTGACCTTTTAATTTGGAAAAAAAAAAAAAAAAATGATTGGAAAGATGGAGAACATGGAAGAAATAGTGTCTGCATGAAAAATAAAACTCCCAAATTTGTACTTAAAAAAGCAGTTCTCTACAACCATCAGAAATCATGCTGGAAAATCCTTAGCTACACCCTGAACCTTATCAATGGGCTGACAAAAAGCCAACTTATGACAGAAAATAATGTATGAATGAGATATCCTATCCACTGGTAGGGCATTTTCACATTTTCAGTGCTCTAGATTGCCAAGATATGTGTGGTAGATACCTCATATGGTAGAGTTGTGAGCAAGCCAGAAAAATGGGGCTTTAAGGAAAACTGTACAAACACAGACTAGCGGGTGATATCTGGAATGTACATAAACATGACAAAACACCCTCAAGGAAAGTGTAGAAAGCAAAAACAGGGTGGAAGCAAATGTCTGAGCATATCAAACTCCCCCCCCCCCAAAAGAAGGAAAGAAAAAGAACAGGTGAATTGAAACAAAAAGTGGGAATGTGAGGAGCTACGCAGAGTTGAAGGTACTTGAGGAAGAGGCAGGGAGACGTCTGAAACAAGCAGCCAGCACAAAGCAGAGAGAAGCCAGCCACAACTTTAGAAAGGTCCTTCCATGTCCAAAGGACAGAGCTTTGGCTCTTGCGTTGCTGCTGGGCCATCTGCTGGCTACTGGCTGCAGCCCCCAGCAAACTGCTCCCACTTTCCTTTGGGAAGGCCCTTGTTTATGGAGGCTGTATCTCCAGAGAAAGTACCAGAGACCACCAGGTGACCACAAGTCAAGCATCTCTGATAAATCCACCTACACTGCATAAGTTCACATCATTAGGGGAAGATTGGACTACTCTTTATTTGTATCATGTAAGAGATGCTCTTAGTATCTGCTTCAAGATTGTCATTTTTTTTGTTTGTTTTCCTTTTTTTTTTTTAAGTGGGAATTCATTCAGTGGCCTACAGTTTTTGCTCCTCACAGGCTCTACTTGGCTCCCACAGGACTGAAAGTAGCCAAAGGTGGCCTGGTTCCATTGCTGGTCTTTGGAGGACTTGCTAGCTTTCCATGTAAACTGGCCTCGGGCTGCCTTCGTTTGGATTTGCCTACATCATCCTTCAGATTTGGCTACAGCATCCCTCGAGGGGCTGTTCCACGGCCAGGAATAACTCAGCAGACCTCTGGCCACTCTTCTTAGCCCTGACTCTCTCCTGTAGGCCCTGCACTCACCTCTGACCCAAATCTTCCATGGCGGGGGACAATGAAAATCCCAATAAACCCATTTCCCTAAGGGATATTCAGACGGGTCGGGCGAAGGCGCTGCAGTGCCTTCGATGCGGGAAGGCGGAACCCCTGGCAGGACGAGCCAGAACCGGGCTGCCCTCCCTCGTGGCTCGGCTTGGCCGTGTGGAAACCCTGATCAGCCCCATCACCGCCTCGACACTTCAGCGGCGCTCGCTGAGGGCAGGTGGAGCACTAAGGCGGCAGCAGCGGCCGTTCCACTCTGCTCCGCCTCGGGGTGGGAGGGAGAGGCAGCGGCCGCACTGTGGCAAACCAGTCCCCGGCACCACCGCGGGGCACCCACCAGCCTCCCCCAGCCTCCGCTCCTTGAGGCTCGCCAGTTCCGCCCCTCCCGCCGCCCCTCACGGGCACCGCCGGCGGGGCGCTCGTTTCCCGCCTTCCCGCTTCCTCCCGCCTCTCCCGCCGCGCTCCCTCCGCCCCGCTCCCCCGCCCCCTCCTCCGGCAGCTCCCCGCTCGCTGGCTCCTTCCCTGCCTCCCTCCCGCCGCTCCCCGCTGCGCAGAGCGCCGCGCCGGCGGGGTTATGGAGAGCCAGCGCTGCTTCGCCAACCGCTTCGATGACTACCCGGGCAGCCCGGAGGCGGCGCCGGACAAGGAGGCGGCGGTGCCGCTAGTGACGGCCACCATCGAACGGATCCTACGGGAGCTGCCGCCCCTGGGCGGCCCCCGCGGCTGCCAGGGCGGGCTGTACGGCGGCGTGGCCGGCGTGGCCTACATGCTGTACCACGTCGCGCAGTGCCCTCTGTTCGCGCCGTCGCGGGAGGCCTACCTGCGAGCGGCTCGCCGCGTCGTGGACGCCTGCCTGCGCTACCAGGAGGGCAGCGGCGAGGCCGACGCTGACACCCGCGCCGCCTTCCTGCTGGGGGGCGCCGGGGTGTACGCGGTGGCGGCACTGGTCTACAGAGCTCTGGGGCTGCCCGACTTCGCCCGGCCGCTGGGCAAGTTCCGGGAGCTCAGTGAGGTCTGCGCCCCGCTCTCCTTCCTCGAGTGCGGCTCGGACGAGCTCTTCGTCGGCCGCGCCGGGTACTTGTGCGCTGCCCTGGTGCTGAAACAGCGGCTGGGCATGGAGGTAAGGGCGCGGGGCGCGACGTCCCCCGGAGGCACCGGCCTCGCCGTCGGGGCTGTCGGTAGATCTCCTAGGAGCTGGGACGCCGGCGGCTCGCCCCGCGGTGCCGCCTGGATGATCTTGCCTCTGCCCCGCGGTAAAGGGGAATGCACCTGTGCCGGTGCTCTCAACAGCAACACCAGCAGAAAAGCTGGAAAGCTTGCACTTTGGGGGCAGGCTTCAGGAAGATCCCCGGGTGGGGAAGCTTTCTCTAGCAGCAGCGCTCCTACCCTGAAATAAAAACTGCATCTTTTGCAAGAGGGAGCGGGGGGCACCGGGAGTGCTGGACGCGGTCCTGCTGAGTTGGGCAGGCGCTGCATCCCTCTCCATCCCACTACATGCCGCTCCATCCCTCTCCAGGTCGCTCCCCAGGGAGCGCTGAGAGCATCAGCTCTTGGTTGCCAGATGGTGAATTACTTGGCAGGAGCCACCCCGGGCTTTTCAAGATAATTTCCGTAAAATGAAGTGGGTGAGAAAAGGAATACTGTTGGGTAAAGCAGAGTGAGAGATCTCGTAACAATAAGTAGTGCTGTGCTTTCATTTGCAAGAATACAGATTTTGAGAAGTGCTTGGTTTTACTAACCTCAGCATACAGAATCTGGTAGTCTTTTGGAAAGCTGGCCATGTATTTTGATGCTTTTCATGAATAAGAGCTGGGTTGGGGTGTTTTTCTAGAAGCATGAGATGTGATTATGGGTCGACGTGCTGGTGGTTTCAGCCGGGACTTTACCCTAGGATACTGTGATTGTCAGTGCTCACAATTCAGCGCTTCCACTGACTACACCATAATAATTAGTGCAACTGATTCTGTTTGCTGTGGTGCTTGTTACTATGTGGTCAGTGCAGTATGAGCAGGCATTTGTTACATTTTTATTCCTGTCCTCTTGTCAGGTCCAATCTGTGTTTCCTCTGTTAATCACTGATTTGCAAGTTCATATGCTTCTGGCTTTCTTCTGGGAGAGGAAGTAACTATTACAAGTAAATGATGTAAAAGCAAGCGGCTCTGCCCCATCCAATACCAGTAACTGCAGTCAGAGTCCATGGAACCAACTGAATGTTTTTTGATTGCCTTCAACAAAATTTCTTAAAGCACTAAGTGTTTAAAGTAGCATACCATAGGTGCTGTTTCTTTGGTTTTTATTTGTATTTTATTTTATGTATTTGCATTTGTATTTATTTATTTGTATTGTAACCTCTGCCAGGTTAGATGGGGCTTTGAGCAACCTGATCTAGTGGAAGGTGTTCCTGCCTATGGCAGAGGGCTGGAACGAGATGACCTTTAAGGTTGCTTCCAAACCAAACAGTGCTTTGGTTCTATGGTTGTCTGAAAACTATAATCATAACCATGGTTATGTTGTTTGTAACCATAAGATAACCAAACTTGCCATTCTGACAGCATTTCATATGAGAGGCAAGTTTGTAGATGCATCACCATCCTACATGCAGAGTGCAGCAGTGTCAACCTGAGGGGATGGTTCACCACAGAGGAGTAAGCCACCCCTATTAGTTCAGTTTGCACTGGGGGAGCGTGTCTAGTGCCCATATGGGGTGCTTTTGGTGATGTTGTGACATACCAGCTGAATGAGGAGGCACCCTGGACTCTACTGCTTCATTTAGTTCCTTCATCCATGTCTTATGTCCTTGAGAGCAATTGCTGAACAGTTTGGAGAGTAGGTGCAATCACCTCTGACAGTGTGAGGAAGGGAAAAGCTCTTTTCTCTCCTTGTTTGCTTCTGGAAAAATTATCCTTTATGCAGCATAAAGAGTTAAACAGCCCCACAGATGAGCACACATATACACTTATTGTGGAATCCATTTAGCAGGTGGGCTAACTACAATGATAGAGGGGTTTATTTTGCCAGTAAAACATATTCTCAGTCCCCTTGGTGATGTTTTAACTGGTAAGCTAACATCCTTCCAGAGTGTTATTTATTCTGTCACCACATTGTAATTTTAAATATATAGTGCAAGAAAGACTCTAAACTGTTAAGTATTGCTAAAACCCATTTTGATTTTTTGTTTTAACAACAATTAAAACTTTTAATTAAAATATTTTGCACCTTAGTGAGGCAAATTATAATGATTTCTAGTCTGTATGTACTTATGCTTGAGCAAAATTTGGGTCCTTTGATAAATGTTCCCATCCTAATACAGAATTATCTTAATTAGTACATTGCCAGACCCGACCATGCATCTTTTTACAAATAAAAAAAGGGATGCCCAGAGAGTGCATGTCATTTATTACCCAAGGTCAGACGGTAAGCCAGGTACATCCCAGAATAGAAGCAATGCCTTGTGATTCGAACCACTAGAAAATGCTACCTCCTGTAATTTGATTGTGCTCAGTCTCACATGGCTCACTGCAGCATGTTTTCTTGTTTCCCACGTTCTTTTGGGGTTTGGGGATTTTGTTTTTTGAGGATGCTGTGCAAACATTTCCAGCACAAAGTGAAATCTATTCCTTACATTGAAACACAGCCACTGCTGCCCATATGGTTGTTTTTTTTCTGAAGAAGTTAAATAGTGACCTATATACAAGAAACGGTTTGCCCTTGAAGAAAGGCTTTTTGAGCAATTTTTACAGCTTGTGTTGCGGGTTTGGTTTTTGGTTTTTTTCCGGGCAGGGAAGGAAGGAATTGGTGTTCAGTAAACACCAGTTTAGCTCAGCTGCTGTGTACTGATGCTTCAGTTTCTTGCTAAAGAGTCTTGGTGTTTTAAAGCATTGCATGTTCTTCGGAAAGTTAATGGACTGTCCGGAAGGATCCAGTCTATTGAATAACACTGACCTCGTGTGAAGAAGACATTTGCATTCAGCTGGTGTTCAGTTTTAGGCTAATACAGCATTTTTCCCTGATTAATTAATTTTGAGGTTTTGGGTGAATAAGGATTACTTCAACAGTCAAGGCTTAACAGGATCTGACTTTCATGATGCACTATGCATTAGGAGAGATGCTTTTCATTGTTTAATTTATTTAATTTGCATTACATTGTAGTCAGTGCTTCCCAGGCAGAAATGGGTAAAATACTGTTTTTGCAGAAGCAATGTGTTATTTGTCTAACGTACATATGAATAAGATGCATGCATTTTAGCTGCCCTTAACTGCTGTGTTTTCGCTGTTCAGGGGAAATTTTGTTTCTGTTCTGCTTTCTTCGGGTACCTCTTTTTCTGATGTTTGTATGTTGGTTCATTATGTGCTCTTGTGAAAATCTCTCAGTCCTGCTTTTAATTCTTTTTACTCAGTCTTTATTTATTTGTGCAAACAGTAGTAAGACACCATTAAAATGATGGTCCTGTCCCCCCATGTTATTTTATCCTCCCCTCATTTTTTATCAGTTTTCTGTCCCATTTCGTGGTGGATGGAGCATGGTGTGTCTCAGTAGTTGTGTTTCCTCCTGGCAATATAGCTGTCAGATGACAGAGGACAAGGTACAGAAGTTCAAGTGGATTCTTGGATCACCATCTGCTGAGATGGAACTGCCTTTTAGCACAGGTCAGGTTTTCTTTTAATAACTGACTGAACCGATGGGGTTGACTGACTTCCACTAGCCTCGAGTTGCAGTGATGGGTAGCAGCATACCACATAGGAGGTAGGGCAGCATTTTGCAATACTGCCTGATGCTGTGGTTTCATGACAGACTGTAGTTTTGAAAGACACTGGGGCACTGTAAGAGACCCTGGCCTGCAGTTGCAGAGGTGATGAGCTAAAGCAGCATGCTTTTCCAGCAACACAGCCACAGCAGTTCCCTTGGGGCTGACCCACTGGGGTGAGTCTTGAGTATGTGCGGAGACCTTAAGCTCTTCCAGTTACTGCATGGTTAAGATTTATGTCTCTGTGGCAGAGGGGCATCTCAATTTCCTTTTCCAACCAATGCAGTGTCATGATTTGGTGTGTGTTTCCAAGATTGTTGTGCTGTCTCGGGGAGGGCATAGTTCTGTTGTTAGTCTGTTGTGGGATGCGTAGGAAGGGCAGTGATCTTTCCAGCAGGACTACACTGAGTGTAGTGCCCTGCTAAAAACCATACTTTCCCTGCATGCTGTCTATCAAGAGAGCCTCTTTTGGACCTCACAAGATTTCAAATCAAGCTAATCAACTTTACCTGGTACATGGAAAACACAAATAGCACTGCTGTGTAGTGTGTGGGATCTCGGTGCCACAGCAATGGAAACGTGAGGCAGAACTGGCTTTAAAAGGCAGTGGAACAGGCTTATGGGCAGTGTATGGGAATGACAGGTCCAGCCAGTAAATTTCATAATATTCTGGGAGAGAAGATGTAAATGAATCAAAATTATCTTTCAGCTCCTCAGACAGTTCTAGATTATATTACTCGTTCCTTAGATCCCTCCAGCTAATGTTTTAAAAGACAGTTGTAGGTAACTTTGCTCCAAATTTTGAAATTCTCTTTTTTTGGGGGGTTTAGGGTTTGGGGTTTTTTTCTCTCTTAGAAAAGAATTCAGAAAGTGTGAGAGGAAGGAGCTTCATGAATCCTGCCTAGAACATGTTCATTTGCAAATCTTTAAAGTAGAATGTAAATGTATGAACATAGTGCTTATGAAAGACACTTGATGGAGTGATCTTAGAAAGGGAGATCTGAAAAATATCCACGGAAGAGATGAACCTCCGAGTGCTGTAGTGCAGAGTCTCCATGTTAGGCTTTTAATCTCACCTGTGCCTGAAAGGGAAGGGTTGTCCTTTGAGGCGAGATTTCATTCCTTCTCTGAGCCCAGTAAAGTCATTTCCCCCTGTGGAAAAATTAGCCAGCTCATCTGAAACATTGTGGTATTTGAAATGTCAAATATCGTGGTGCTAGCTGGAGCTGTACTGATTTCATGATTTCATTTTACACAGGCCACTGCACAGACAGGATGTTGTGTTTTTTTGCCACAGAGAGGTAAAATAAGATAACAGTAAAAAAAGGGTTTTGATCCTAGCCTGCCTCTTTTAAATGTACATTGTTCTAGCTGT